TATGAGTGTAGAGTGTAAAGTGTCGAGTGTAAAGTGTAGAGTGTGGGGTGTAAACTATAAAGTGTGGAGTGTAGAGTGTAAAGTGTAGAGTGTAAAGTGTAGAGTGTGGAGTGTGGAGTGTAAAGTGTAGAGTGTGGAGTGTATAGTGTAGAGTGTGGAGTGTGGAGTCAGGAGTCTAAAGTGTAAATTGTGGAGTGTGGAATGTGGAGTGTAAAGTGTGGAGTGTGGAGTGTGGAGTGGAAAGTGCAGTGTGGAGTGCAGAGTGTAAAGTGAGAAGTATGGAGTGTGGAGTGTAAAGTGAGAAGTGTGGAGTGTAAAGTGAGGAGTGTGGAGTGTAAAGTGTGGAGTGAGGAGTGTAAAGTGTAAAGTCTGGAGTGTAAAATGTCAAGTGTAGAGTGTAAAGTGTAGAGTGTAAAGTGTAGTGTAGAGTGAGGAGTGTGGAGTGTAAAGTGTGGAGTGTGGAGTGTGAAGTCTCGAGTGAGGATTGAGGAGTGTAAAGTGCAACGTGTAAAGTGTGGAGTGTAAAGTGTAAAGTGTGGAGTCTAAAGTGTAAATTGTGGAGTGCGGAGTGTAAAGTGTAGAGTGTGGAGTGCGGAGCTTCCCCCATAGACACGGGCACGCCACAGGAAAACCAGAGACTCGAGACGAGACACGTGGGTGCAGGAAAAACACGCATTTCCTACGAGACTTCCTTCAATTTTGATATTTTCGACACGTTATCAAACAGGTTGGAATGTCACGAAGTGCCACACCTGCCACGCAAAACTCCATGACAACCTGCTTGGAAACCTTCGAAAAAGAGATGTTTTGCAGCTTCCCCCATAGACACGGCGACGACACAGGAAAACCAGAGACTCGAGACAAGACATGTGTATGCAGAAAAATCAACATTTCGTACGAGACTTCCTCCAATTTTTACATGTTCGACATGTTATCAAAGAGGTTGGAATGTCACAAAGTGCCACGCCTGCCACGCAAAACGACATGACAACCTGCTTGGAAACCTTCGAAAAGGAGAGGTTTTGCAGCTGCCCCCATAGACACGGCGAAGCCACAGGAAAACTAGAGACTCGAAACGAGACACATGGGAGCACCAAAACAAGCATTTCGTGCGAGACTTCCTCCAATTTTCACACTTTGAAACATGCCGAAAAGACATGTTTTGCAGCTTCCCCCATAGACACGGTGACACCACAGGCAAACCGGAGACACGAGACGAGACGCGTGGGAGCACCAAAACGAGCATTTCGCGCGAGACTTCCTCCGATTTTCACACTTTGTAGCTTCAAAATCGCCGCCTTCCTACGAGTTTTCTTAGGAACCTCTAAATTGGCTACCTCAAAATCGATGTTTCGTGCGAGGCTTCCGTCAATTTTCAATACATCTCGCAAAATGCCACGCCTGCCACGGAATTTGCACCTTGTCGCCACTTGACGCAGCTCTGCCAATGCGATTTACAAAAAACACGCAACACGACACGTCTAAAGTGCTGCGCCTGCCACGAAAAATGACGATGGACACGTCCAAAGTGCTGCGCCTGCCACGAAAACTGCCACGCATCTTCTGAAAACGTCGCAAAAGTATTGCGCCTGCCACACAAAACGACTTTCGACGCGTTACAGAACACGTCTGAATGTCACAAAGTGCCACGCCTGCCACGCGAAACGAAGCAACGAAACGTTGGAAACCTCCAAAAATGACACCTCCTGCAGAACTTACCATAGGCACGGCCATACGGTCCTCACACGAACGGTTGCGGACGGTTGCGAACGTGAACGCGACGTCGAGCGAACACACCCTCAACCCCCAGACCCCCAGACCCCCAGAGTGAAACGGGAACCCTTGCTACGCATTCGGGAAAACTTGCTAAACAATTGAAAAAAATGGTCAGAGGATTGTTCATTGTTACTTGAGAACACGGTGACAAAGTACCCGAACAACAAATTTAGGAAGTTGGTCAATGAAAAATCCTCTAACATATCTTCCAAGCTCTTCAATCTTATTACACCTTTGAAACCACAAGCTACTAAATAAACTCTGCCTTGGCAACCCTTTCTGCAAACAACTTGGTAACACCCTCTCTCTACCAACGTCCCCTTTGGTGGAAAACTTAAAACAACCCTGTCTTCACCCCTTTTCGTGAAACACAGACTTAGAAGAAAAAAACCTTTGTCCGTAACCGATGGTCCAAAGTTGTTGTTCCCTAAACTTACAACTGAGAAACACAAGTCAACCGTTAACATCTGTCCCCACTCCGTCCTACACCCGAGGCCCTTCGCACTCCAGCACTGTTTTTCAAAGGCGTCGGACGCCGAGTAATGGAATCTTGCCCCACTTATGGGGGGGGTTGTTCAATCGGTCCCCCGCCGATCTTAAAAATCCCCTCTTATGGGGGGTGACATGCAACCTGGTTCGAGCGCCATGAAACGGAAGCTGGACCTGCCACCTGCGCCCCTCGCGCAGGTGCAGGCGAAGAAAATCCTCCGCTGCAGCATAGGCCCAGGCCCCAAGCCGCGTCTCGGCACGAAAACTCACCCAAGATGCTCGCTCCTCCAGCCAGGTTGAACCATACCACGTGGCAACTCTGACCTCAGAATAGCTATACTTTCAAAAACCCGTAATCCAAAAGAAACCCCCCAAAAAATAGTACCAATCTTATGGAAACATTTTCATCACCAATCATTATGCATAGTGACCTCTTGGAATCGAAATGCTTACAACTGGATGCAGGGATGGTCCATGCATATCCCCTTGTAACAAAAACCCAAAGACCCAACCAAAACAAAACCATACAAAAAAGCATCATCAAAAACGCCAAGGCACAGCATCGTACGGCAGGTTGAAAAAACCCAGCCGGGCCAGGAACCGAAAGGGCCCCGGCAGTCTGCAGTGCCCGAGAGCAACCTGAAACAGGGTTGACGTCACAACCAAAAGTCCCAAAACGTTTCTGAAACTAACTTTAAAGCTTTGCCCTGTAAACAACAACTTTAAAAAAAAAGACTTCTCGACCCCTTTAAAGTTCACCCTGGCCTGCAGCATCCAGAGGGCCCTGGGCTCCAGCATCTGCAGCAATGAAATGCTGCTCGACACGATAAGAGCGAAGGTGTTCATGCTGAGAACGAAGAGAAAAAATGGCGCGAGGGCGAAAACAAACGAATTAGCCAAAAGCTGCGATGTGCTTCATGTGGTGACATGCCGTGAACCCGCTGGATTGGACCAAACCCCGGAAGCTGGAAGAAACACAAAGGGTAACATTACAAAGCCCTTTGAATCCATTATTTTCGGAGGATACCAGAACAGCTGTAAAGCCAACAAATTCAAAAAGGGATCCAAACGTCAACTCATTGAAACACAACAGGCCCGAAGTCACTGAACTCCTTTACCCTTTTCAGAGAATTCTTACTTCATAATCATTTCCTTTTGCTGTTGGTGATCCCATACAGTAACCAGACCCGTCGGACCATTCTACGTTAGCAACAAACCATAACCCTGGGGCATATGCCCCTTTAGGCCCCCCGGCCCCTATCCTACCCAAAAACGTCCCTGTCTCGGCCCAGGGGTCTGGGGCACTAAAGCTCAGCCCAGAGGGCGTGCCCCGAAGGGCACGCCCATCGTGTTGCCCATCGGAATTGCCGTAAATATATCCTTGTCCATAGCTTGGGATCTCATAGTCGGCTATGTATCCTGGAAAAATATCCCTCATTAATATACCCATTGTATCTCCCACTTTTAAGCCAACCCATACTGAAAAATTTAGAGTTTAATACAATACAGGAACCCATCAACCATCACCAACCTGTTCATGATAATGAACCCATCCAATTGTGGGTGACCATATCAACCATCTGGGCAAATCATTGATGTGGTTTGACAAATCAGAAAGGCCCGTAATTTTTCGGATGGTCCCCAATAATAACCTATAGACAGTATATACATTTATAAATATATGGAGGTATACTAAATTTTCAGAAACACCCAAGTCATATGATTGGGTATCCTCAGTACATCTCCATTATATCTCCACAAAATGCTGTATGTGTCGCTATGTTTTCCATGGTGAAACAAGACACGTATACTGACGTATACCATATCATCCCACGTGGTTCCAGTGGTTGCTAACTGTGGTTATAATCCAGTTATAAATGGGATAATCATGGATAATCCACTTGGAAGACTTACGATCACCAGGCTTATTCACCATTTACGACTCGTGGGATAATCCAAGTGTCTACTTTGACTCTTAGTAAGTGCTGTGTAGTAAGCCCGTATGTGTTGATTAGTATCTCAGGTTCATAATATTAAACACCCCCATTGTATGGTCCCAATATGGAGGTGTCCTAAAATGCAACCCCAAATCATCCAAGTCATTAGACCATGACCTAGTATCGAAACCCATGATTTTGGGAATCCCCCGTTTTAGGAAACCACCATATTGTAGATTGTGTAAACTATGATGGTTTCTTGAGGGCTTCAATATGAGGGGATGGGATGAATAGTAGTTAGTCATGGTCAATATCCACTAATAATGGCTTCAGTTAAATATTACTAATTGGCAATGGTTAGTAATGGTCATTATCTAATTGTCAATCTCGACTAATATCAATAATTGACCAATATCCATTGTTAGTAATAATGCCTTCAGTAAAATATTGATTGATGATTGTTCATATCCATTACTAACCATGTTACGGTAGATGACATCCCATGACGTCCATCGAATTTTTCCGTCATCTGAAGTCGTTAGAATATGGTATCGTCAAAGATGCCTTCGTATTCTATCTACTTCAGGCTACATTCATCAATATTGTTGGCTATATTCTCATATGATATTCCCATTGTATTCCATGAATGTCCCATAAATCCCTATTAATATCATCTAAATGTATCATATGTATATGTATGCATATATATATATATATAAATTATATATATATATATTATATCCATGATGTCCATGAATTTCGAGGGGAAATTCTTGCTCCAAATCATGCAGGCTTCACATCACCAGCCTTTGCCACGTCCACTTCGAGCCTCGGCGTTGACGAAAAGCGCGTGCTCGGGATGCCAGGAAAATGGCTGAAAAATGCTGGCTGAAGCAAGAAAAAATATGGAGCTCCTAGGATTTGTTTCTCGGATTTTATGGGATATGATGGGCTTTTCTAGGGATTATATATATAAATGGATTTAACCAGCGACAAAAATGGGAGTTCACGGGGATATCAGTAACGATGGGTGTGTCTTTTTTTGGGCAAGTTTCTGGTACAAAATGGCGATGAGAATCCCTTGGAAATGGGGATTGATGATTGAAGCGGTAAACGTTTTTCGATTTATTGAAGATAAGTCTGGAGAATGGATACGATGGATATGGGATGATATGGGATCCAAAATTGGGGGATTTTTTTGTGCCAAGTGAGCCAGCCATTTGAACTGGGACGACCAGTTTCAATCCTCAATTTTGGGGCACCATTTTTCGTCAGACAAACCCGACGATTGGTTCAATAAGGTTTAACGTGGTTTAATATGGTTAATCTGAAAATGGATGAAAATGGGCTGGTTGCAAGTGCAAGTGTCACATTATTGATCAATTTGGGTGTCTTCAGCTTTGACCGATTTCCAATTGAACAGCAACCCACACAGTAGGGTTTTTCTATGGATTGGTCCAAAAATAGAGTACGGACGACCCCTACAAACTCAATGAATTGATTACCATCATTTTTACTATCAAATTTACCATAAATTGTGATATATTTAATATATATATATATATATCCTATATCCTATATCCTATATCCTTTCCGGGCAAACCCATATCATTTTGTTGTTGGCTATATATATATATATACATATCCCAATAATATACCCCGGTGATATCTCCGTTGAACAATTAAAGCCTAGCCACACTTCTATTTAAACCTGACAGTATACTATGGTTTTTGCAGCAATTCACCAAGCTGTTCATCATAAACGATGAAAAATTGTGGCTTGCCATATCTCCCATCTCGGCAAGTCTTTGCCATTGTGGGTATCATGCATCGTGACCTCGGCCACTTGTTTTTTCCCACACTTGGACTCATCGAAATTTGGGGGTACGACTCCCCTAAAGATTCTTTTTGAAATAAGGCTTTGTGGATACAAGATGATATAAGGTGAGGCTGTTGACGAAATTGGCTTTGGTTGGCTTTGTAGAACTTGGCGAACTGGGGTTTATAGTGGGTTTATAATGGGTTTATGATATACGAACTAGTTCATGGATGTATAAAACAACAAACATAGAGGGAGCCTCACCTGGGGTTAGTGACACCCATCCCTTCCACTGTCCACCTCCATGCCAAGGAACAGAGATTCCTCCTGGAAGAACGGCTTGGACAACCGACTCAAAAAACCACTTTCTGAGTGGAGGAGGTAATCTTTTAGAACAAATGGAGGTTTCCATAGTCATGGGGGTACCTCCAGTTATCATCCATTTTATGTTCGGATATTCTGTGAAACAAACCACCCAGCTGTTGGATGCTGTTGGCGTATCCCCATTTTGTTCGATCGGCTGCCTGATGGTGGAGCCGCCGTGTATTCTCTACCACAGTCACTTCAGAGATCCTGCGGATTACCAGATGGTGATACTTCTCTAAGTGCGACCAAGGATGACCAAGGTATCCTTGGGGCATCTATGCTGTAGAATTATGTGGGGGGTTCCAGCAATGGGGGTACCCCAAGCTCGCTGGATGGTTTATTTCATGGAAAATCCATCCATAAATGGATGATTCAGGGGTACCCCAGCAATTAGGAAACCTCCATATCATATACAGGATAAATATGGATAAATGATAATGTATTGTAAACGGGATCATCATCCACACCTAGTTCTGCTATGTTGTGTCCAAGAAATCTTCTAAAGTCAGTGGTTCTTTTTTCCCAGCAACCACTGGATGGTTTTTTGGGGACACATTCCCAGTGAGTCACAAGTCCAACCAATGATGTACCAACTGGGTAGTAGAATCATCATTTTGGGTATCATGACTGATCATCAGATAATCATCATGGTAGAAAATGGTTGCAAATCAGGGCTAGGAATGAAAGACAACTTCATGATTTACCATGATCACCTCAACCTGTGAGTGCTGGCAAACCCAACCAACATGTGGGTACTCCACATCAATCTTTGAGACACTCAGATTCCAAGGCAGCAACTCTGAAGCCCTGCCTTGGTGGTACTTGCAGCTGTGGTAGTAGTGGCTGTGCTTGTTGACGCTACAGTGGTAGTTTCTGCACTGGCAATTGTCGTGCTTTCAGCACTAGCGGCTTTGGTGCTTTCTTCACTACTGGCAGTTGTGGTGCTCTCCTCGCTACTGGAAGTTGTGGTGCTTTCAGCACTAGTGGTGCTGGTGCTTTCTTCACTACTGGCAGTTGTGGTGCTCTCCTCGCTACTGGAAGTTGTGGTGCTTTCGGCACTGCTGGCAGTAGTGGTGCTTTCCGCACTGCTTGCAGTTGCACTCTCTGCACTGCTAGGAACAGTCGTCGTGCTTGCCATGCTGGTTTCGATTGTACCTGTTGTACCGCTCGTTACTGTCATGGTCGTTGTGCCGGCAGTTTTTGTAGCACTGCCTGCAGCTGCAGCAGCTTTACTGGGCGTTGAGCTGTTGCTGCTGGTGCTATTTGTGGATGCAGTTGCATTGCTTGCAGTGGTGTTTGCTTTGGAAGTTTCATTGCTGGTGCTATTTGCGGATGTAGTTGCATTGCTTGCAGTGGCGTTTGCTTTGGAAGTTTCATTGCTGGTGCTATTTGCGGATGTAGTTGCATTGCTTGCAGTGGCGTTTGCTTTGGAAGTTTCATTGCTGGTGCTATTTGTGGCTGTAGTTGCATTGCTGGCTGTGGCATTCTCTTTGAATGTCTCGTTGCTGGTGCTACTATTTGTGGCTGTAGTTGCATTGGTAGTTGCATTGCTGGCTGTGGCATTCTCTTTGAATGTCTCGTTGCTGGTGCTACTATTTGTGGCTGTAGTTGCATTGCTGGCTGTGGCATTCTCTTTGAATGTCTCGTTGCTGGTGCTACTATTTGTGGCTGTAGTTGCATTGGTAGTTGCATTGCTGGCTGTGGCATTCTCTTTGAATGTCTCGTTGCTGGTGCTACTATTTGTGGCTGTAGTTGCATTGGTAGTTGCATTGCTGGCTGTGGCATTCTCTTTGAATGTCTCGTTGCTGGTGCTACTATTTGTGGCTGTAGTTGCATTGACTTCCGTGGCATTGGCTTTGGAAGTTTCATTGCTGGTGGTATTTGTGGACGCAGTGGCATTACCTGCTGTGGCATTGCTTGCAGTGGCATTGCTTGCTGTGCTGTTCTCTTTGGATGTCTCATTGCTAGTGCTAGGTGTTCTTGTCGTTGTCGCTTCTGCTTTTGGCACGGCCTCTGCCTCACTGGTCGGAGTTGCAGCACCTCCAGCTGCGTTACTCTCATCACCAAAACTGTGGCGGAAGGACCAGCTAAACGCGGGCGTCGTGCTAGGGCTAGGGGCCGGCGCGGCCGTAGTGGCCGGCGCCGTAGTGGCCGGCGCCGTAGTGGCCGGAGCGGCCGTGGTGACCGGAACCGCCGCAGCCGTAGTGGCCAGCGGGGCAGCCGTGGTTTTGGGTGCGGTGGTGGCAATGGATGCTGTCAAGGTGGTCGTGGTGGTCGTGGTCGTGGTCGTGGTGGCCTTCTCTCAGAAATGGTGGGTTTTCTCCCAGAAATCCCCAACAAAAGGTGATATTTCTGGAGGAAATATTTCAGGAGCCTCATCATTGAATGGAAGAATTGTCAACTGGTTCAATGGGAGAATCACTGAACAGCTTGGATTATATCGGATCTACTTGGATGGTGAGAAAACCTGGGTTTCCTTTATGGTAATCCCTCCCCCCTAATATTCAACACCCCCTCAACGAAACCATGGTTTAGTTGGGAATTTCCACATAATTGGGACCACTTTAATATCGGGGTGTTTAGATTAGGGGAATGGGACTAGTTCTCCCAATATCGGAAATCAAGCCGATGATCCTGAAGCTTCACTTCGATGGGATTGCCGTGCCCCGTCCAAACATCGGTGAAATTGGATCCACTGCAGATATTGAATCTTCTGAAATGGTAACAGTAACATTGGCAATCAAACATGGCACACTGGATTTTTGGGGGGGTCGGGGATTTCCCAGCCATGTTTGATGACCCACGGGTATGGCCCCCAGCGACCCAATCCAGCTGCCACGGCCTTGGTCGCGGTTTTGTCCTCGCTCAATGGACGATTCTAAAGGGTGAAGAATAGTCCTAGGATTTTTTTGGGGGGGATACTGTAAGGTTTGTTTTTTTTTGATTTATTTCCAGACGCCTTGCATTTGCAACAGTTTCGAACTATAATTTCTCATTTTGCATCGTATTTGATACATTTTTGGCATGTTCACCTTCCATTTTGCACGGTATTTGCTATAGTTGTGGCACTTTAACCTCTCATTTTGTTGGTACTTCAAACGTTCATGTTGGTTTTTTAGGGTGTTTAGGGTTTCTTTGGGGGTTCACTTAGGAATTCATTTAGGGTTTCTTTGGGGGTTCATTTGGCGTTTCATTTATACGGGGTATCTTTAGGGCTTCATTTAGGGTGTCGTTAGGGTGTCATTTAGGGTTTTTTGTTTGGGGTGTCATTTAGCGTTTCTTTGGGGTGTCATTTAGGGTTTCATTTAGCGTTTCATTGCGGATACAAACAGGAGAGAATAGAGCTAAAGAAAAAGAAACGCAAAGAGACAGTAAAGAAAGGAGGCAGACAAGCAGAGGAGCAGGAAGAAGTCTAAGTAGAGCAGCAAAAATGCATGACTGCAGAAAAAGAAAAAGTAGAAGCAGAAAGGCACAGAAGCAAAAAAAGCAGAGAAGCAAGAAAAGTAAAAAAGCGGAAAAGCAGAGAAGCAGAAAAGAGAGAAGCAAGAAAAGCAGAGAAGCAGAAAAGCAAAGAAGCAGGAAACGCAAAAAACGGAAAAGCAGGAAAAGCGAAAAAGCAGAAAAGCAGAAAAGCAGGGATCAACAACAAAAAACTAAACCTTATCAAGAAAAAACCTTAAATAAATAGCAATTCTTAAATATTGGAGATATCATCTGCTATGGGCACAAGACGCAACATGCAGGGAAATCCCTAAGAAATGGAAGTCCTTTCAGGGGAAAATCATCTATGAATGGTGGATTTTCCATCAAGCCATGTTTTGGGTAATGGACCGTCCGAAAAATTGCGGTGTGGCCTGATCTTCTATGCTTGGTTCGCTGTGACTGACAGCGGTCAGTGACGTGTCGTTGCGGCTTGCAAGAGATTGAGCTTTACAGTACCAACAGGGCTTCTGTCTAGTCCTTTCCTTCCGCGCCGTGACATTTTTCTCAACGAAACCCTGGAGGTTGGAACACCTTGAGGCTTTCCATGAAGTCGTTGAATGACAATTGGGAGCCATGTGTCGTGATCCACATGGAGTGGATGGGTCAACAGTGAAGGCCCTGCTTCTCAGTCTTTACCACTCCTCATGGTAGTGCAATTGGAGCCTCCAAATGCCGATGTGGCCAATGGTCAAAGCAGATGTTGATATTCAATCAGTCGACAACATGGACAACATGTGTGTGTGTGTGTCTGAAAATTGGGTACATTCATCATCTGGTTGGTGGTTTCAACCCCTCTGAAAAATATGAAAGTCAGTTGAGATGATTATTCCCAATATATGGAAAAATAATCCAAATGTTCGAAACCACCAATCAGATCATCATTTGCACCTTAAAAAATCGTAAAAATCTGTAGATGTGAGGGGATACCCCATTTTCGGACAACCCCACCGACGACTAAGTGCCGCAGTCAGCCGCAGTCATGCCATTCGCGCCAATTCTGCTGCCGGCATCATTCGCATCGTCAGCCGGAGATTGTGGATCAACATGCAGAAGGTTGTCAAATCAAGGGAAGACAAGATGGCTGAGTAATTCATCTGGATGTGGGTCAAAATGGAAGACCTAGGGGACCGCCGATGTTAGTCTAGTTTAGTATTAACCATCCAATTATTGGGGTACCTAATTTTGACCCATACCCATCTGGATCATGGCATGTGTAAATACGGATTTGTCTGAAAATGGGGGGCCTTTCTCGGCATACCCTGGCCAATTTGATATGGGAAATCGTGATGAAGCGCTAGATGGAATGGCCTATGTTCAGACTCAGTGGAACTTCAGAGGTCAAGCAGAGGTGTTTTCATCTGGGGAAGCGTCAATTAAATATAATTAAATACCATCTGGCTTGGATCAGGCTTACTCCAGATCATACCCACCATGATTATAATAATCCATTATAGCCATATTATACCAGCATAATCCAAAAAAAAACATCATGTGATCCATGGTTATATCAGCATATCAGCAACCCATCATGCTATTTCGTCATAATCCCCCTGGGCAAATCCGCAACCCATTCCCGTGTCCTCGGAGACATTTTCGGTCGTGGTACTGGTGGTCGTGGTGTTCATGTTCTGGGCAATCCACGGGATCCATTGGGCTGTCCGGGATTTCTGGGCTTTTGTGGTTAATGATATTGGTTAAATAATGGTTATGATGGTTATATAGTGGTTGATAATATTGGCTCAACTGATAATAGTGGTTATATAATGGTTGATAATATTGGTTATCTGAAGCTCAACTGCTTTTGTGTCCCGTGATCTCAACGTTGGCTCAACTGCAGCAGATTTTTGGCTGGAATGGCTGGAGCGAATCTTTGGAAATCTGATAATTGGCTCCGGTGCCGAAAACACTCCTCAGCGGCTGCCCTTCCTATTAAAAAAAGGACTCAACCAACACCAAACAAAAATCTTGGAAATCTGAGGGGAGTTCGGATTTTTCCAAAAAATGATTTGTCTTATCATGGCTTACCCCAAATCCACAACTCTTGTTTCAATCCGCAATCTCTTGGCACCTCCAGTGGTTAAGTCTCTATTTCCTGGTCTCAAAACCTCTTAGTTCTCCATCTTCTCATGGCTTAAGTCTTACTTCTTGATGCTCAAATCAAATTGATGGTAAACCCAGGGAGAACCCCCCCAATATTCACAGTAACCAAGCATTCACCAGTGATGCACCCGTCCCTTTAGCTCCATTTATGGCCAGAAAAAGCTGTGAAAACCTATGAGAACACCTATCAAATCCCACAAAAAGACGATGAACACCAATGAAATCCTATGAAAAACTATGAACACCTATTGAAAACATAGTTTTATAGTATAAACACCATAAAACACCTATTTCATATGAGAAAACCTGTGAAAACACCATAAAACACCTATGTTCATCCCATGACCAACGATGAAATCCCACGATTTCCGACCTCCAGTCTCTTGGTCACGTTCTCCGCCACTGCCTGTGAGACGTTGTAGGCGATTTCACCCTTGGCGACAGTCAGATAGAAGGGCTGGGAGGATCACTCTTATTCAGTGGTGAATAGTGGTTAATACCCATTTTTACCAGCTAGATATGAGATCATTTCACGAATCGCAGACTTACGAACTCGTTTTTTTTTGTGGTTTCAGTGGAGGTAAAAAATGGCGGTTTCAATAGAGGATCAACCTCAACCGCAAGCCCCAAAGATCAAAGAGATTGCACTGATGGGGATGATCAACCCGAAGATCTGGTTCAGAGGAAGTTGCAAAATCCTACTAGAATAGTGGTAAGTGTCATATACCCTTTGGT